TGATCATCTCTTCATTCTCCCTCCATTAATTTTACTTGTCAAGCCTCCACTTGTAAACTATCCTTCAACCTTCTCATGTGCATCTCCAACACTCTAAAAATTGACATTAAAAGCTCTCCACCCAATGCAAGAACTTAACATATACATAATTCAAACACTCGCATTAAATACTACAATAGTACACGCAGGTTAAACATTTTATCCACTTACAATATCAGGTATACTTACAATATCAGGTATACTTACAATATCAGGTATACTTACAATATCAGGTATACTTACAATATCAAGTATACTTACAATATCAGGTATACATTTATGAATAAAATGTTATAAGAAGATTGTTGTATTTTCACTGCTATAAGGTATACATCTAGATTTATTCTAGATTCTTTAACCCGACATTTTCTTACTTACTTCATATTATTAATACGTGATTTTGTTTGAAGTATCGTTAATTTTGAACGCTTGATTTCGATATTCAAGCACTTTTAAACTGGTGGATAAATATACCTAATCCTGCAATTAAAGGAATTGAGTCTTTGGAACAAAATCAAATATTTAAACCTCAATATCTTTAGAACCCGATGTTGTAAACCTTTGATATTTCAAACTCAGATTATTTGATCTAACAAAATTCATAGTTTGAAATATCTAAGGTCTGCAACATTTGGTTCCAAAGATTTAGTGATTATAAAATCAGAGTTTGTGGCAAAAACTCAATTCCTTTATAAGGCTGAACATAAGTTTTTAAAAATCCGGTCTGTGCAGCAAAATTGATACATGTAAAATTTTCTACCTTTTTTTATTTGGAAGTATCCGCGAAACTTAATAATTAACTCTTAAATCAACCAAATATTTTAACCACTTATACTACTGCTTGCCTGGTTATGTTTCACAAAAAAAGAACAATTTATGTCAATAGGTTCAATCAGAGAGTTCAGAAACATAATCATAACAGTATAACATGCATGAAAATAAAAGTATGTTGCAGAACATTTAAAAAAAATAGCTTTTAAATAGCTATAACGTCAATTTTACATACATCATTTTTATGCTTTAGTACTACAAATGATGTATTTAGGAGAACAGAGCTTGGAACTTTTGAATGCTGGATATCGGGATTAATGATTGATCCACTCTTTTTCTTAATCTCAAGATTAGATAATGCTTGTTCTCCTCTTGTTATTAATCTCCTGATTAATAAACCGATCGGGATTAGGGATTTCCCATTCTAAAGTTTTCAGCTCAGAGCTTGGAACTTTTACATCCTAATAATCCCGATCGCTAGATATCGATATCCACTGTAGGTCTTTCTAAATTGAGGATCAATGCTAAATCTCTTTATTTCAATTATTCCTCTCCAAATTTCAAAACTCCCTTCAACCCCTGATCAATGATCATAGCTCCTTATAACCCATGATTGGGTATATACGATCACCATGCAGGATATCGAATACAGATTAATTAATCTACAGATTAACAAAAGATCGAGATCAAGTATTGATCTCGATATCCACAATACAAGAGTTCCTAGCTCAGGATATCTTATCTAGCATATTTTGATTACAACTTGGTTTTGAAGTTAATCTGAACCTGAGATTAAATATCCATTAGGGAAATATTTAAAGATGTTTTCAAAACCATAGTTTCACCTACATATCTATCTATATCTCAGATCTAGGAATAATGTTTATTAAACCTATGTGATAAATGTCTGAGGTTTGCATGGTTTAGAAAATATTTCGTGTTTTCTCTTGTATTAGTTCATTGTAGCCCTAGGATACAGGGGTTACAGGAGTACACACCCAGATATTTAAATGGCATTTGATGGACGGTTCCGGAGTAAATACTAAACTTTCCCTTCCTTCGCTTTCAATACAGTTTATAGGCTTCATGGAAACATCAGTTTTCTAGGATGCTGGATGAATTAGGTTCCCAGGATGAATTAGTATCCTTTAAATTTATTAGTTTCCTATAGGATGAATTAGGTTCTAGACTGAATTAGGTTCCAAGGATATATTAGGTTCCTATGATGAATTAGATTCAAAGAATGAAATATGTTATCAGGATGCATTAGGGTTCTATGATAAATTATGTTCAAAGGATGAATTCCCATGATAATTAGGTTTCTAAGATGAATCAGGTTCCCAGGATGAATTAGGTTTATTGGCTGAATTAGGTTTATATAGAATAAATCATGTGCCAAGGATGAGTTAGGTTTTTATAGGACGAATTAGGTTTATTGGATACAAATAGGTTTAAAGATTAATTAGGTTTATAGGATGATAAGTTTCTAAGATGAATAAGTTTTACAGGAATAATTTGGTGTTATAGATGAATGTGTTATACTGAATTTTGTTTTTAGTTGTGTGGGTTGATTTCAAATATTGATCTTGTTGTTTAGGATGAAATAGAATTTTTAAACTATACTTCTGACATTGATTAACTGGGTTCCTGTAATTGTAAGTTTTTTGTTTATACTATAATAGCTTGGGAACCCAGCTTTGTTTGGCAACCAAACTTTCTCTATAAAAGTTAACTCAATCAATTTTGAATTTGTAGACCAAATAGAACATTTCCGTAGTTCTGTTGAGTTCATCTAATTCGTCTAATTCATCTAATTCATCTAATTCATCTATTTCATCTAATTCATCAGCAAACTCTGGCTTAAATGTATAAGATGAAAGAGGAAATATGATTATCTGTATAATGAAACCATATTGTACCAATCTCTGCTTCAACGCATATATCCGATTTAGTTTAGATGAATCTGAACCTGAACCTGAACCTTAGATGGATTTATCCCGACCTTGGTTCCAATCTTCAATAATTAGGCTTGAAACATCCTTATCCTGGTCCCTATACTCCCCTATACACAGATACACCAGTCCTGGCAACCAAACAGATTTTTTTATCGATTAAGAAAATGACGAGGCTTCTCGGAACAAGGAAGAGGAGAGAGATGAATAGTTATAATACATAAGATTGTTAAATTGAGAGATAAATATAGGTTTTGGTGAATGAATCAAAGGTTTAAATTCAGTGAGTCTTATTCATGTACGCTGGGGCGTACACAGGGCTGGGTGGGGAGGTTTTATAGGGGGTACTCATTCCCTGTCGGGGGCTAAACCCTCCTTGAGAATCTGCATACACCACTGCATAGAAGGTTTAAGGGACTAGAAATGAGAATCAACAAATTTGCAGTATACGCGACAAAAGTCATGGGAAAAAGGCTTTGAAAGATCATGGTGACTTCTACTGTTCTTAGAATTAAAAAACAAATATGCTTCGCGCCTTTTCTTTATCTTTATACTTTGTTTAACTATTCTGTAGAATATCAAGTTAAGAAATCCTTGTAGCCCAAATATTAAATTTTGTTTCAAATACATACAGATTTACCCACAAAGGATGAGACTTCAGAGACGACTCCGCTGAATTTATATTGTCTTTTTTCTTGAATTCATTATTTCCTGCCAGTCTATAAACTTGTTTCTTTCTTTGTCAAATCATTAAATAAGCCATTAAAAGAATATATTAAAGACAGAAGACTTAATTTACTCTTAGGATTGTCATTTTTAAAGAGTTTCAGGTCGTCTTTATAGTTTCATCCTGTAGTGGGTAACCCAGTACGTCTGCATGCTTGGCTAGCGCATACACTACAGTTTACATATGAACATACAAATTTCTTCAACCCAACCAAAGAATTTTAAATGATTTATATAATTAGTTGGGACTGAATAAATAATTGGTTTGGATGAACAATGATTTAGTTTGTGAAGAATAAATAACCAAAAAGTTAGTTTGGATAAACAAACAGTATAGTTGAAAGTGAAACAAAAAGTTTGTTAAGATAAATAAAGAGTTCGGTGGGATGAATAAAAAATAGTTTGGATAAACAAATAGTTAATTGGGGTGAATAGAGTTAAAAGTGGGATGAATGAGGAGTCAGTTGGGATAAAATAAGAGTTGGTTCGGATGAACTAAAAGTTTCCTCAAGAGTTTGTTGGGATAAAATAAGAGTTGGTTCGGATGAACTAAAAGTTTCCTCAAGAGTTTGTTGGGATAAAATAAGAGTTGGTTCGGATGAACTAAAAGTTTCCTCAAGAGTTTGTTGGGATAAAATAAGAGTTGGCTTGGACGGACTAAACTAAAAGATTTCTCGGCTAAATAAAGAGTTTGTCATGGGACAAGTTGTTTTGTATAAACTAAAGTTAGTTGAAACGGAAAGTTAGTTGGGACAAACAAGTAAGTTTGGATAAATAAAGGATAAATAAAGATTTAGTTGTGATGAAAGAGATGGTTTGTCTGAAGTTGTGAACTAATGGTTAGTTTAGATGAACGAACAGTTAGTTGTGATGAAAGAGATGGTTTGTGTGAACTAATACTTAGTTTGGATGAACGAAAAGTTAATTTTGATGAAGGAAAAGTTAGCTTGGATGAAAAAAGAGTTAAATGGGATAAAAGAGAGTTAATGGGAATAAAAGAGAGTTAATTGAGAAAAAAGAGTTAATTGGGATAAAAGAGAGTTAATTTGAAAAAAGAGTTAATTGGGATAAAAGAGAGTTAATTGGGATAAAAGAGTTAATTGGGATAAAAGAGAGTTAACTGGCATAAAAGTGAGTTAATTGGGATAAAAGAGAGTTAATTGGGATAAAAGAGTTAATTGGGATAAAAGAAAGTTAATTGGCATGAAAGTGAGTTAGTTGAAAAAAATGGAAGAGGTATAGTCAGGTAGTGTTAATGCTAAAATGGAAGAGGTATATAGCAGCGACAGGTGTTTATAATTTAGTTTATTAGCTCCTGTACACTGCTGTACAGTGTACAGAGTACAGTGTACAGCAGCGACAGGTGTTTATAATTGAAACTATTTTAAACAATATTTTGAAGAAAGACATATATTATATTCCTGGGGTGGTCAGGTTTCTCTTCCATAGTTTTAAATCATATCTAGGCACAAACAACTGTTGTGATTAAATGAACACACATGCATGCATACCATCGGAGTTAAGAACACACGCATACAAACCTGTGCTTCTATCCAGTCAGAACCAAGCTCTGAGAAAGAGAAGACGTATCTCCGCACGCTCCGCTACTCTATGTCCAGTTATACACAGGGACGGAAGTAGGAAAACTTGTAATAGGTTTAGCTCCAGGTTGTGGGAAAGGCAGGAAACTTCGGTGATGGACAACCTGTTCCCTGTCCAACCATATATAATTAATACAGCTTAATCACTATACCCTAGAGGAGAGAACATATTCGAAATTATTATAATTAAGAAATTACCAACTCTACCTTCTCAATATACAAACTTGTAAGCAATAACAAAATGTAAATAAGTTAGAATGAGAAACTTATTAAGACATGTTAAATTTAGTTTGGTTGGAATTAGTGACACGATATTGTGAATTGGTTTAGTGAAAAGAACTCATTTCTTTAGTACAAAGTTTAGTAACAAGTGAATAATGAGGATTTTTAAACGGCGTGGGGAGGATCTGATAGATCCGCAGCTTACCGGAGTAAGGTTTGATCAGGTAAAATCTAAATCAAAATTTAAAAAATTCATATTTTTACAAAAAAGAATTCCTAGCCAGATGATACATTTTACATCAAAGATTTGAATGTTTTTTTTTTAACTTAAAGCAACTTTATACATATATTTGGGTTGGTTGTAAGGTTGAGAGTTGGGTTTATCTTTAGTTGGTTTTGTTCTTGTTTTGGTTGTATCTCATATTTTGCTATTTCTCGAGTTGATTTATTCTTGGTGCTGTTAAATCTCAGGTTGGTTTTTATTTTCGGTCTGGTTGTTTCTCGAGTTGATTTGATCTCATAGTTTAGATATATCTCAGGTTGGTTTTTAATCTTGGTTGTAATGTATCTCAAGGTGGTTTTAAACTTGGCTTGGTTGTTTTTCAAGTTAGTTTTGATTTTTTGGTTTGGTTTCATCTCTAGTTGGTTTACAAAACTTGGATCGCTTGTATTTCAGGTTAGTTTTGATCTTGGTTTTAATGAATCTCAATTTGGTTTAATTTTTGGATTTTGATTGTTCTCAAGTTTGTTTTAATCTTGGTTTGGTTGTATTTTAAGTTCGTATCGATTTTAGTTTGGTTGTATCTTTAATCTTGAATTGGTTGCTTATTAGTTGGTTTTATCGTCCTTTGTTTTTAAAGGTTTTTATTTTGTCAGTTTTTGTTTGGTTTGGTAGCTAGAGGTTTGTTTGGTTTGGTAGCTAGAGGGTTGTTTACTCTATTATTCCTGGTATGAGGTTGAGACAGCTCTCTGTTAATGTTTGAGTAAACCTGGTTGATATTTTGCTTGCTTTTATTACTATTATTAGTTTCCTGACCTTTGGTTCGTTGATTCCAGCGACCAATCACGAATATAAACTCAAGATTCTTGGTTCTTCGTAGACACCTTATTTTATTATATACCAGGGGATGATTTAGGGGGGGGAGGTGCCATTTAAACGAACCGCCGGCGAAATGTATTTGTAATTTTTAACAAAACACAATTTTATCCACCCTCCCTACTCCCATCTTATACAACCAAGATCTATTGTCCTTATTTCAAAATAAATCAACATCCTTCATACAAGATATTTATAAATATTTTGTTGTTAACGTAGAATAAGTTCTTTAAACTTCTTTATGTAGAAGAACTAAAAGATAAAAAAAAGATTTAGAAGGATTTTTTCTTTTCGACAGAAAAAGACACACAAAATGTTCCTAAGATGAAAGAAATACATAACAAAAACACATCGAAATTTCGACATATTTATTTGTGTTGTTTTTGTTAATAAATCTCCATAAAACCATCATTAAAAGCGTATTAAGTTTTTATTGAATTCTGCTGTGACTGAATTAATATTGTTGGCTGATAAATATTTTTACTTTTTCCGCATATAGTAACTTATTCAACAACAAAAAACAATAGAATTATACTTTTCTTTTAGAGTACAGTTTTTTCATTTCATATTCTTTTTCAAGTAGAACGCGCATTATAATAAAAATATTTACTGTTCAGTCTAGACCCGACTAACCAGAGTAGGTCGTTTTAATTGGTTGGCTCATGATAATCGAATGAGAGTTGATGTACGCTGTAGATGAATTGAAATGTAAGGAAAAGGGGTCCAGGAGGGGGTCCAGGAGGAGGTCCAGGAGGGAGTCCAGGAGGGGTCAAATTTAAACCATTTCTGTTTTATCTGCATTTTTTTAACGCAAGATTAAAAATCTTATTAAATAAGAATAATTAATCAAGATTAAAAGTTCTCAAGATTTACCTATTTTATCTTCTGAGCTCATTACACCATGGTTATCAGTAAAGAATATAAGGGAGGGGGGGATACACAGGATGTATATTGTATATTGTAAATCAAAACTTAATAATGAAATATTCTTCTCAAATTCTTGCATTAAATATTTAAAATAGTTATTCAACTGAATCATAAAATTCCTTTAATATGTGTGACAAATCAAAGTACTTTTACATATTTTAAAACTATAATATAAAAAATTAAATTAAAGAGGAAGAAGGGGGGGGGGTCGGACCAGACAATTTTAATTCATCCAATTCATTAAGTCATTGTGAAAAGTCTCTAATGGTTCTAATTAAAATATTAAAAGTGTTTCTGATAAAGGATATTTTTCAATCCAAACGTGTGGGAGTTAACTTTGTGCACTTATTTTTCAGTCCAACAAGAATCGGTTTTGCAACCACTGAGTAAAATCAATAATTTTGCGACAAGATCAGCCGTGCAAATATATATGCAAATATATAAAATCAAAATGTTTTGCAAAAATTTCAGTTGATTAAAATTTTTCATGCTATTTTCTTAATTAATTTTGAAAATGAAAGATTAAAGATGAATAGGCTCGGCGTTGAGATTCCTCAATGTACAATTCAAAAAATATTTCGACAACTGAGTTTATGTCTCAATCAGAAACCATCCCCCCCACCCACACCCCCCTCCCAGCCCATATTTAACTGATATTAACGTCATGAATTTTCTCACCCCTACCCCCCCCTCTTTCTCTTCTCCAACCTATCCTCCTTCTCCTCCCCTAATAACTAATAACTCCTACTTCCTTCCCTCCTGTACTTCTAGCTGGTTCCAGTTTCCTCCATGCATAATGATACTTTATACCCCCTCCCCCATTCTCCCATTTTCCCCATACTCCCCCCCCCCTTGCTTAGTGCCGTAAATAATGAATGCTTAAAAGTGAAAACGGGAAATTCAAAATTTTGATTGTGGCACGAGAATTCAAAATTGCGAAATTGCAAAAGCTTGAAATTCTTTGCAAAGATTCACGGTGCGTAGATAATTGCGTTTGACGCTTTTCCTAGCGCCTGGAAAACCTTGTAGGATTAGAACCGTATCAATGGAAGCTTTAACTTAATATATCTCTCACTCTCTGGTTTAGTTTCTAAACTAATTAAATTATAAATTGTAATCTAATTTAGCACCTACAAGCGTATCTGCATTATCGATCAAAGGCCGCGTCAAAAATACGCATATATAATTATCTAAAAATAGCGATGAAATGATTAATGATTATGTCATATTTAGTTTATGCTCTCTCCAATTTGTATTATTATTACATTATTTTATCAGTATAATTTGGTCAGTCTGATAGTACGGACATATATCCCAGCGACAAAGTATTTATTTCATAATATTGAAAATTAGGAAATGTAGTGATTTCTGTATTCGTCCTTGCATTTATTCTTTTTTTGCGGTACCATAGATCAACCGCTTTGAATATTCAGTTTTTTAGGAATCCAATTCAAGTTGGCACTTCATACTCGGCAATTTATTTGCAATAATTTTATGTTTATGCAAGGCTTGGATTGTATTTGCTTGCAAATATGAAACCTGATCAAAATATATGGATTTTGCAAGGATTGCGGCGTATATGCAAGCTAGGCTGGTGCACAATCGAATTTTACTTTAAAATAATTGGCGCAAAACTTTTTTGTAAAAAAAGCTGATTGTGTATGATGGAAGGTCGCTGGAATTATGGGTTTAAGATTGATTGGATACTTGCTTTGCTTAACATGCGGATTAAATTATTAGTTTATGCGGATTAAATTATTAGATTATGCGGATTAAATTATTAGATTATGCGGATTAAATTATTAGATTATGCGGATTAAATTATTAGATTATGCAGATTTTTTTTAAAGAATTATATTTGTCCCGAACTCAGAAGGCATTAGTTAATCTTATTCTCTCTCTGTAAAAAGGAAAAAAAATATTATTCTATTTTTTCTTCTCCTCTTTTACAAATCAGTTTCGAAAGTGTTGTTGAGAGGACGGGAGGGGGATGGAGATCAAAATATTTCAAGGTCGATTAGTTGAAAAAATAACGCTCTCTGTTGTGCAATTTCATACAACTTATTTTGACATATTTAAAGGTTTGGCGCGCGGAGAAGAAAAGATGAGTTGGAGCATTTAGTTGATGTGGTCGTCATTTCTAGTCTTTGTAGAGGTCTTAGTCATTTCTAGTCTTAGTAGAGGTCTTAGTAATTTCTAGTCTTAGTAGAGGTCTTAGTAATTTCTAGTCTTAGTAGAGGTCTTAGTAATTTCTAGTCTTTGTAGAGGTCTTAGTAATTTCTAGTCTTTGTAGATGAATTTTAAGTCTTGGTAATTGCAAACCCATGAAATCTATAGATTTCAATAGTTCTGTATAGTTCATTGTTATTTCTTAAAATTGTTAGTATTTGTATTTGCTGAAGGGGTCCGGATCTGTGAACAGAAAAAGTTTAAATTTTAAAATATTTGTATACATAAATTAACCGTTTTATTGTCCGTTTTTCAAGTTAATAATTCCTTACTGGGAGTCCGAATAAGCCATTAAAACATCCATTTACCTCCAGCCATTAAATCTGCAATCAAATTTGAGAACAAGAAAATATTTTTATTTGAAAATTGCTTCTAACCATCATTATTTATTTCACAATAGATTAAGGGTTTAGTTACTTAATTGTGAAAACGTTTTGTAAAACCAACAAGAATTAAAGTAGAATGGGAAAATATTTGCAATGAGTTAATCGTTAAATCGTTAAATATTTCTAATTGAAATCATAGGTATCTTAGAATTAATTTTAAGTTTAGGTTCAGGTTTAGGGTTGTGTTTTGGTTTAGGTTTGTGTCTAGGTGTCGGTTTGTGTCGAGGTTTAGGTTTGTGTCAAGGTTTAGGTTTGTGTCTAGGTTTAGGTTTGTGTCTAGGTTTAGGTTTGTGTCTAGATTTAGGTTTGTGTCTAGGTTTAGGTTTGTGTCTAAGATTAGGTTTGTGTCTAAGTTTAGTATATGTCTAGGTTTAGGTTTGTGTCTAAGTTTAGTATATGTGTAGGTTTAGCTTTGTGTCTGGCTTAAGGTTTGTGTCTAAGATTAGGTTTGTGTCTAGCTTAAGGTTAGTGTATAAGATTAGGTTTGTATCCAAGATTTGGTTTGTTTCTAGGTTTAGATTTGTGTCTAAGTTTAGGTTTAGGTTTGTGTCTCGGTTAAGATTTAGGTTATTGATAAATGTAAGGTTTAGGTTTTGGCTAATCTTTAGAATAAAGCAAGGGTACAACTAAACTAGGAGAGTTGAAAGGAATCATTGTTGATCTCCGTTTGCAAAGTAGCAGAACATATAGCCTTTTCCATATAGGGAGAGAGCACTGACAGAACCTTGAGGGACCCCTCTCCTCCTTCTCCTACTCTACCTCCAGACTCCTCCCAGATACTACAAACTCCTCAAACCATAAGAAGAGGTAAAATATACATTAGTTCTTGAAATTATACAAGATTGTTTTATATTTGAATTATTACACTGGTAAAATGTCCTATTGTTCTACCTTTTTGAGCAAGCTATGGTTTAGTAGGAGATGATAAACCCGTCCCCCAGTCTAACATAATATCTTGCATTTATCAAACAGTTGTTTTTAACCTTTTTCTGGTTTCCAAGGTCTACAAAGAAGTCAGTAAATGTAGTAGTTTGTTTAGGTTAAGTGTCTTGAATATTTAAATATGTTAAGGAGAAGGTTGAAGGGAAGGAGAAGGTTGAAGGAAAGAAGAAGGTTGAAGGGAAGGAGAAGGTTGAAGGAAAAGAGAAGGTTGAAGGGAAGGAGAAGGTTGAAGGAAAGAAGAAGGTTGAAGGAAAGGAGAAGGTTGAAGGAAAGGAGAAGGTTGAAAGGAATGAGAAGGTTGAAGGGAAGGAGAAGGTTAAGAAGGAAAGAAGAGGGTTGAAGGAAAGGAGAAGGTTGAAGGGGAAGAGAAGGTTGACAATGAGGAAGAAGTGAGGATTATTCTGTATTTAATTGATTAGTGGTTTACATGGAAAGATGTTATTAAACCTTGTCAAGGTTTCATTTTATCACTCTAACATCCTTGATATATCATTAAACAGATCAACGTATCATCCAGTTCTATATTTCTTACACAACAGAACAAACATACAAAGAGCAAACATACAAACACGTAAACCTACAAATACGCCGACATTAAAATAGAGCTATAAAGAACAAGAATAAAATATAGAACAAATTGTGAATTATCTGTGATCTTTGAGGTTTTATTGCCAATTTGTCATTAAATATTATCTATTTACAAAACTGCAATGCCTGAGAGTTTGTGAGCAAAAGGTTGTTTTCAACCCCTTCCGTGGTTTCAAGATTCTAGGGTTGGTTGAGCACAGTAATTCCTCCCTGTGAAGAATACGGTATCTTGTGGTGCTATGAATGCTCGGACATTAAAACAGAAACCTGGAATTCTCAGCTTCAAGCAATCATTCCTTCTCTTTCTTCTTCCTGGGAACCCGTCTCATGTATGAATGATTTTTCTCAATACCCAGCTCTCTCCCAATCCAACCAATAAGAGCATAATCAGGGTAGCATTTAAACCAAGAAATGAATTCGTAATATTCTCAACTATTTAAATCTGAAAGAACAGTGAAGTGTTTTATTTATTGTTAACATATTTTCAAACTAGAACACTGGATTAAGATTGCTTAAATTGAAGGATTTCGTTTTTACCGGAGGTGAACGGAAAATTCGGTAATAAATGTGTTATAAACTGATTTATATCACATTTTTGGACCTTTGTACTATTTTGTAAAGTAAGAATTCATAAATTTTGAATGAGAGTTTAGAAGGAATATTAATTAGTTTCTGTAATGATGATAATGTTTATTTTACGATCAAATCTTTTCTTCTTTTAAAAAATCTCCGCAATCAAAAAACTCTGGAGCCCAAGTTGCAACATGGCAGGTGGCTTTTAGATCTGCTGTTGACGGTTTTCTAAAATACTCTTTAAACTAAAATGTCATGAAAATACTAAATTTTACTTAAAAACCAGACATTTAAAGATCACATGCCCTGAGTTCCATGTTTACAGTCCTTTAATTGGATTTTATTATAAAGTCTTCAGAAAAGTAATGATCGTTAAACCTTGACCTAAAACAAATTAATTTCCGTTTTTAAAGAATAAACTCTATATGTTTGTACTCATGTCTCAACCCGGAGTAGAACTGCTAGCTCATCATAGTTTAATGAACAAGGTTACTGAGAAGGTTTTTGTAACCTAGGAGTGATGTGAATCGCCTGTTATATCCTTAAATGTATCCGGAGTATATATGGTTTTATAGCAGGGACGGATATCTTTAGTAAACCTGAGATCCTGCACTCATCCTTTATATATATACATAGATATATACAAGGCTAGATATATAACAGTATTCTAGTCTACTCCTAACCATGGTTTGGTTTTTACTCAACTGATATAATGTGCTGGTTAACCTAAATGATGCTAGAACAGCTCAGGGTATAGATCGGAGTAAAGATTCTGTATGTAAGGTCGGGGGCGGAGGAATCAACGTTCAACGTCAGTTTGTGACCAAACTCTAACCCAACCAAGAAGCTTACCCATGTTCTTAATTAGCCGAGTATCCGGAGATCATATCTAAACCTGAAGTGAGCCAGAGAAACGAACGGTTGCATGGATGGGAGTAAAGATCCCGCATCCTTCCAGTACAAGTTCAAGGTTTCTCTAATACCTGCTAATGATACCTCCTGCTCTTGGGTTCACTATGAAGTATGAGAAAATTAGGGTTTACTGCAGACGCTAAATTGTATTTATAGCATAATTCAAGCATAATTTTACGGGATGACGTAATATGAATATTTGACGCGGAGAATTGTTAAAGATGAGTCCAAACCCTTGATGGTTTGCAAACCAGGGTTTTTATCAACTCTGTAAATTATAGAGACTCCGATAATATTAACAGAACCAAGGTGGGAGCAAAACCTCCTTTGATATCATTGATCTTCAACCTTACTCAGTCAAGTCAAAATATTTAAGAGACCCCTGCTCAAAACCCTATTTATCTTGCTTCCTCAACCTCTGCCTTGATTGGATTTGAAAAGAGAAGTTCACATTGTTGGAGTTGAGGTTAACCCTCATCAGGTTTAATCCTTTGAAATGGATCTGATCTTTTAAAACGACGTTTGATATCGGTCATGCTTAATTAGGGTTGATATTCATGCTGGATTATGGTTCATTAGTTCGAATATGGGATAGTGGAGCATATTAAACTAGGACCAGGATATTTGCAAACCTATCCTTATTTAATACAATAACTTGAAGCAAGATATTTCCTAGCTCCGATCTACTTGTGATAGTTGAACCCGGTTGTAAAGGCCTGACAATATCAATCTATAAGAGAAGGCTTGAGATTTATAGGCAGTGAGGCTAAGAAGGGCTTGAAGCAGCAAAAAGAGGGGGTTAACCCTCATCCGGATACAGGCATCATACAGATTGAAATATTATCTTCAAGAAACTTATTGATTGAGCTCATCCTTTAACTACAGGGGTAACACAGAGAGAAGTCTACTGGAATGAGTGGCGGTAAGGGGAGGGTTTCCCCCTCCTTCGTGTTATCATATATTAATAAACCCTGAGATGAGTTGATCCCTGACCTAAACTCATCTAATAATATCAAACCCATAGTTGCTTCATAATCTGGCTGATTAATTATATATTATCTTTAGATCCTGCTCACCCTGTCAATATTATATGGATCAGGGTATAGTTTAACAGGGGTTAAATATTCAATAGTTTTTTAATCGATAAAAAACGAGCTCTGTAAAACTTTATAGTTTTTCTAGTTTTCTATCCATTCTAGTTTTAGCTTTATGTATTTACTGTTCTTTAGTTATTATTCTTAACTATTCATCAGTTATTATGCTCAATTGTTCTTTAGCTCTTGTTCTCAATTATTCTATTTATTAGTTATTGTTATTTTTCTTTAGTTCTCTTTGGTTCTCTTTAGTTCTCTTTGGTTCTCTTTAGTTCTCTTTATATCTCTTTAGTTCTCTTTAGTTCTCTTTAGTTTTCTTTAGTTCTCTTTAGTTCTCTTTAGTTCTCTTTAGTTCTCTTTAGTTCTCTTTAGTTCTCTTTAATTCTCTTTAGTTCTCTTTCGTTCTCTTTAGTTATCTTTAGTTCTCTTTAGTTCTCTTTAGTTCTCTTTAGTTCTCTTTAGTTCTCTTTATATCTCTTTAGTTCTCTTTAGTTCTCTTTAGTTATATTTAGTTCTCTTTAGTTCTCTTTAGTTCTCTTTAGTTCTCAACCTTTTTCAGTTCTCCGTTCTCATCCAGTTTCTCCATTCTCATCATGTATTTAGTTTACAGCTCTGTCCTTTTCTTAAGTTCTCCGTTCTTAACTAGCCAACTAGCCTTTAGTCTCTGTTCTAAACTTTTTTAGTTCTCCGCTACCAACTGGTCTTTAGTTCTCAATTTTTGTTATCTTTGGTTTCTAATCCTGTTCCTTATTTCTCTGTCTATTCAGTCATAACAAGTAATTCAAGAATTACAGATTTAACTATACAATTGTTATACGTAGATAAATATCGATTAGTGGTATCTACTGTATATTTCCTGTATGAATATATATATATATCTATGATGAGAAGATGAGCAATTAAACTGATATTATGAAGATTAGTATTCATCTGTATACAGGATGCAGGAGCCAAGTTTATTCCATTGTATTCAAATTATGCTTGCACAATTACAGTACATAAATAAAGTAGTTCATGCCTTTAATAATAACAAAAATACAATAAATACTTTTATATAGACGTTTACCGTTTACAAGAAATATAGCATTAGTATCGCTACTCTTGTAAAATAAGACACTCTGCTATATAATTAGTGTTTACACATCAGGAGTTATTCCGAATATTTTACATGCATGCCAAGCACTGCACTAGAACTCTGAACCTTAGCAACCTTGTATAGTCTGGTATCCGGGCCCTAGCAACCCTGTACAGTCTGGTATCCGGGCCCTAGCAACCTTGTACAGTCTGGTATCCGACCCCTAGTAACCCTGTACAGTCTGGTATTCGACCCCTAGCAACCCTGTACAGTCTGATATCCGGGCCCTAGCAACCTTTTACAGTCTGGTATTCGACCCCTAGCAACCCTGTACAGTCTGGTATCCGACCCCTAGTAACCCTGTACATTCTGGTATCCGACCCCAGTAACCCTGTATAGTCTGGTATCCGGGCCCTAGCAACCCTGTATAGTCTGGTATCCGACCCCTAGCCACCCTGTACAGTTTGGTATCCATCCCCTAGTAACCCTGTACAGTCTGGTATCCGACCCCTAGCAACCCTGTACAGTCTGGTATCCGAACCCTAGTAACCCTGTACAGTCTGGTATCTGGGCCCTAGCAACCCTGTAAAGTCTGGTATCCGACCCCTAGTAACCCTGAACAG